TACGGTAGGTTTATTATTAAGTGGTGAAAAAAGGATTTCAAAGGGTTTAAAAACCAAAAAGCACAGCTCATAATTTGTTTCTAATAGTGAGGCCTGGTTGTGAAATGGATTCAACAAACCTTAAATAAATAAATCATAAATCATGGAGGAAGAATCATTATAACATACAAACAGTGACAGCAGATGTGACAAAAAACAGTTAAAAATAAAATTTCCTTGACCTAGCTGGTGCATATATTAAACTATAAATAGCCAATTGTGCTTGATTATTTACGGACCCAAAAAATGATTTATTTCCCACATATAATTGATATATAAACATACCAGTAAGTATTTTAAATTTGAACGGATTTTTTTTTTTTTAGTACATATACATGAAACACAACATGTTAGTATTTTTATTACACTGTATTAACTGATACACAGTTTTCATCCAGTATAATAATGCTACTAAAACACTAAAATAGTATAAACGTTTTTACACATGATTCGTATAAATATATAATCTGCCCCTCCAACCCCCATTGAAAAAAAAAAATTAGTATGATCAATATTATTTTCAACATGAACTAGATTATTCCATTCAGAATAGGGTAGCCAGTATTAAATTGAGGTGGCAAAATGAGAACATGACAGCAGCTGAGATTGTCCTAGGTTGACATTTCCCCGCCACTCTGGTTGTATCAAAATAATTTCATTTTTGTACCGGCATAAACCACAAAACAAGGCACAATAAAACCACCAGCATGCTACCAAATGAGGATTACCAGAACAAAAATAACATACTGTACGTGATATCGATTTATACACAATATAATTTATTCTACTTTGTCATTAACTCCATATGTGGTCCTTTTGAGTTTCACCAACCAAACAACTACCTTTTATATCAGTTCTTCCAATTTGCAATAATTTGAAAGCCAACAGGCACTAAATTTCACTAAAATTTTATTATTAAATTCAATTTAAAAAAAAACAACCTGTGATATTGCAGCTCCTAATACTTAAGGCCATATAAAACAAATTTGGTGTTTACAATTGGAATTATTTTATTGTATATTTTTAGTATTTTAAGTAGAATGACCATAGCTAATTTGCATATAAAAAAATAATTGAGGTTCATTTGCATAAAATGAATTTTTCAACTTTTCCCCAAAAGTACATGTAGATAGCTAACAAATAAAATTAAATTGGGCTTGAATAAAACTAAATACCTGGGGAAAAGGTCTAAAAAATGTGTTGCTCTATGCACTTATATTGAATGAATTTAGGCAGCCATATATTACTGTAAAAGGATTAATTATTCACTGAGTTTTAATTTTGCTTATTTCTGATACTGTAAAATACTTTATTTTAGCAGGAATTAATTTTCACTGAAAAGACTTATTGGGTGTTTTGCATGGAATTTAGTTGCACTGTTTTTCGATGAGTTGAATGTAAAATATATTTGCTAGCTTTTGTTTTTCACTAAATCATCCCTTCAGTGAAAATAGTGCAAATAACTCCAAGCAAAAATTTTAGAGTAATGAAAATAAACAAAAATTTGCTAAAATGAAAATTAAAACTTGACATATTTCGACAGCCTATGCCTGTCAGTCATTGAAATTTAGCAAACACTTTCCAATTTAATCTCCAACACTGTCTTAAAAGAATAACTGCAAACATTTGTATCAAAAATTGTCTTTCCTGATCATTATGCTGAGAAAATAAGATACCCGTTACATTTATATTTTCTGTCAAATGAGTCGTCAAGGTAACAAAGGCTGTTAAAGCTAGTGTACTGTGATATGACATTGACTGATGCTCTTAATAGTGCCATATGTTGCATGGTTAAATGCGTCCATTCAACACGAATGCTTAAATTATTCGACAAAACGGCCGCTCTACTCAGTGTACATTATGTCTAAATTAATACAAGATATAACAAAAAGGTGTGTACGCTCAGTGTTACTACGGTAACTCCCAAGCTGGCTTTCACTGCATTTGCCTTTCATAAAAACTTGCAATTTTTAAAGTGACAAGCATATAAAATTTTAATTTATTCTTTGCAGTATTTGTTTAAATAAGTTCTAATACTGTAGAATACTTTATTTTCGCTTGGAATTTATTTTCGCTGTTTTTGCTGAAGGAATGATTCCATGAAAATAAAATCCAGCGAATATACTTTTTTTCCTATATTTCAAATTCAACTCATCAAAAATCAGTGAAAATAAATTCCATACAAAACACCCAAAATGCCTTTTCAACGAAAATTAATTCCAGCTAAAAAAAAATATTTTACAGTATGAGATTTATTTAGGTATGTATATGTACATGGTGGTTTTAAAAGCAAACTAAACTAACTTTAAACCAGCTGCAACACTCATACTTTACTGTACAATAGAACCTACCGGTAGTTAACACTAGAGTTTTTCCCGCCACAATTTTGGTGCGTCACTTTGCACATTTTTATATATTTTTCTACCATTTTTTTGTTAATTTTTGAACCAAATGGACATAATTTCTCATTGTCTACATTTGCTATCCAAAATTTGTGAAAAATGATTTCATTTTGCAGCTTTAATTTATTAAATATGATAAAATATATATTCAAAGAGTTGAAAGCAAATCTCTAAGCCTTAATTGTGCACAGTTTACGTATTCAATGACAACATTTGATGTTCCATTGTGAAATGTCATCTCCTAAAAATTTAACCATTTCAGTTTCACAAGTGACAAATATCACAGATTTCAGGAGCCTGGAAATTTTCATGAACATTTAACGATCCTAACTTTATGGTACGGTGATACTGGCTGTATAGCCGGATTTGTTCATGAAAATTTCTAGTGATGAAATTTAATGTTTCACAGAACATGTAATTAAATATCTAATAAATCCAGAGCCATTACTGGTGCATTCTACACTGCGAGGTTATTTCAAGATGATCGTAAATCGTATACTAATGCAGTGCAGAGGTCAATGTATGCAAACTGTATACTTATTTTTATAACTAAATCTTCACTATTATACATTACCAATGCAAATGTCTTTTCAAAAATAACTTTTTCTAAATATTCATTACTTTTTTCTTGTGCAACATAAATTTTCACTTTCGCTGACCTGTAAGCCTCTGGCATGTATTCAATCATAAACTGTAAACGCATTAATTATTCACTGGGTTTTAATTTCGCTACTTTCACTGATAATTAAAATCTGCTAAATTAAATCTATGTGAACATGTATAATAACAATAAAACTCATTGTTTCCTTGACAAATTCTTGAAATTAAAATAAAGTGAATATGCTCAAAACATAAAATAGTGAAATTAAATGTCAGTGAAAATTGATGGTTTTACAGTAGTGCATCATGTAGCATATTAATTAACAGTGACTGCTGAAAGGCTCCACAGACAGCCAAAATGAAAAGGTAATGATCAACATCAAGGGAAAATTTAGAAGCTTCAAGATACAAATTCATAGGACATGTTTGTGGTGCTGAACATATCATGCACATTAAGAAAAACCACATGAGAACAAATCCAAAATAGTTTTGAAATAACTAACGGAGATGAAGTAGTATTATAAAGACCACTGAACGTAATTAGCGTGGATTAGTCAGTAGATCCGAAAGAAATAAATTATTTTTACAACATTATACAATGTAGTACTTGTACATGTATGAGTTGACTGAACTGTGTGAAAAGAGGCCATGAGGTGCCACTAAAAAGGTCAGCTGAGCTGACAGATTAAAGAGATCATAGACATACTAACCTCAAGTCATCCATTACTTAGAAACACAATCATACGTGCATGCAATTGCAAAACAGGGAAAACAGTGTGAATAGCTGTTAAATTAATTTTTAAGATTTTGTGTTTCATAAAAGTCAAGATGAAATTTCATATTATTACCAGGATTATATGTCACTTCAACTATGGC